GCCAACATGATCTTAGTAGAGTATTCTTTTTGGGCTGACGTTTCTACCCAATGTCCACCCAACTCCAGTTTAATATGGCCCATTTGCTACCACTCCAGTTCAAAAGAAAATTAATGAAGTAGGTTTTCATTTTTTTGTTTGGGTTAAATGTTAATTTTAGTTTCTCAACTTTATAGAGTTGCTTTTTTTGGTCCCTTAACTATTTTTATACTTTTTTAATCTCTCAACTCTAAAAACTATACAATTTTGGTCCTTTCATTAGTTAAGTGACACTTGACTATTAAAATATTCTAAAATGACATAATTTTTATGATGTGTAATAACACATCATATAATCAACTTACACGGACATAAAAATACCAAGTCAGATTCCACAACATTAAACAATTTATAAATTAAAAGACAAAAATACAATTATACCCCTACTTTCATCTTCTTTATGGTTCTCCTTCTCTCTCACTATTCATCTTCCCTTCTCCTCTACCATTGTCTATCTCCCCCTCCCTTTGTATTTTCTCATCTAATAGATTTGAAAGAAAAAAAGAAAAAAAAAAAGAAAAGAAAAGAAAAAGGAAAACCGATTTCTGGATTCAATGAGAACCCTTTGATGGGTTTGTAAGAACCTTCCTTGTGTCTGGGTTCATGAGGAAACCAGATAGTCTAGATTTGTCGCACACATTTTAACTCGAATTAGAAGAATTAAGTAATTGAATTTGACATTTTAAATCAAATAAATAGAAGTAACCTTAGACTCGATTAATCATGAAACAAGCTAAGCACCACATATGTCATAGCACAAACATACCCTTAATTTAAACCCAGAAAACCGTCTATGTTAAATACACTAAATTGAAAAAGCAAACACACCTATTTCATCAACTAGACTAGGAAATAATCTCATACCCATGCTTCTTTAAACATTAGTAAAGAAATGTAGGATATATAATCGAAGAGCAATGAGATACCTTTACAAAGACTTCCTCAAGCTTTGGGTTCATGATGAACCCACAACTTCTAGGTTTGCCATGAATCCAGATTGTCTAGGTTCATGATGAACCTAGATTTTAGTAATTTTATGTTTAAAGAATTGAAAATAATTAAAAATGGTAATTAAATTTGACTTGGTAATTTGACATTGTTCATCTAGACATTGTTTATCTAAGCTAATTGTATGATTTGTCATTAACATGGCAATATAAAAAATAAGGAAAATGTCATGTGGATCGACTTAATTGCGTTGATTGATGGAAAAATCAAAATTGTGCAATTCTTAGAGTTGATTGATCAAAAAAGTGTAAAAAATAATTGAGGGACCAAAAAATGCAACTCTATAAAGTTGAGGAACCAAATTAGCATTTAACCTTTCTTCTTTTTTTTTTTTTCTTTTGACTTTGTAATTACAACCCTTCTGGATGATCCAGCCAACCCTGGTTATTGCAGCTTAAATTTCCAAGACAGAAGATTTGCAAAGAAAAAGATCGTACTGTTAGTAACATATATTAATGAATAATGATATATTTTAAACTTTGTCCATATTTATTTCACACTTAATGTCCTGCACGAGTTGGGATATTATTTACATCTTCATACATACCAAGACTGTAGCTCAGCCAGAGGGTGTATCCCACTCGAACAAGACCGCAGCAGTCTTTTCGTAGGAACATGACTTGAGCAGTTCACTTCATGGAAATAGGCATATTAAGAATAATGCAGATATATAGAGATAGGAAAGAGCTCAAGAGTAAAGCTCAATCCCTTCAATTTAAATACAAGTATAACCAATCTCTAGGTTCTAAACGCAAATTAAAAAATTTATAGGGTAAAAGGTTTTCTATACACATCAAATGGCTCGCAAGCAGTCAACTGTGGCTCCTGTTTAGAGAAAAAGAAAAAAAAAGGGGGGTCAAACCTCTTTATTGCAAGATTCAAACTCTCAATTGATGATAGATATTTATAAACTAGAGCTCTTGCGCATATCCCCTATGGAGTTCATTTGAAATTTACATTTTTCTAGGGTTTTAGAAAACAGGATTCTCTTATGACGACCAAACCTCAACAATTTCTGGTCATTATAGTAATAATTGCCTCAGTTTCATATGTTTGCCTAACAACTTGCACGAAATTAATTTTATGTTGATTGTCCGTGCAAGTATTTGAGTAACCATAGTTATGAAAAAACTCACCGAAGACATAAATACCTAGGTGTTTAGTTGAGACATGAAGCATAATTCATATGCAAAGCATCAATTAAATAATAAAAGAAAAGACCATCTTCTAATAATTATGTAAAACCATGTCATCAAAATAAAGTCATCCATATGCAACATTAAGTCAAATTACCTGCCTAAGCCCACCAGGGAGACTGCCTCCTGTCAAAAGCATTGAGAGGAG